TATATATATATATATATATATATATATATTACTAAAAATATTAGAAGAAAAAGAATCTAGAGAAAAAATATTAGGAAAATTAAAAGTAGAAGATAAAGATGAATGGGGAATTAGACTTATTTATAGAAAAATTTGATCAATTAAGTTTAAGTGATATAAGTTAATACCAAGTTTTAATGAATACTGAAGCAAGACATAATCCAATAGGAACTTCTAAATAAGAATTACGAGATTTAGATAAAAGTTATGCACATATGTATAATAAATTATGCAGATAATTTTATGATAAAGTAAGAGATAGATAATCACCTAAATGAAATAAATATAGAGATATGTTTGAATTAAATGATAATTATGATAAACCTATTAATAATGGAGGAACAAAATTAGATTTAAATTGTAAAATAGATATTAAAAAAGTCTTATTAATTTGGGCAGATTCAATTATATTATTCTTTTTATATAATAAAGATGACACATAGAAAAATATTAAAAGAATAATAGATTTCTTAATAATATCATTTGAATGAGATGTTAAAAATTAGTGGGAATGAATAAGTAATGATACAAAAATATTAATAAAAAGAAATGTACAAACATAAATAATAAAATCATGTAGACAAGGTATAAAAAAGTTAGTACAATATATTTCAGATGAGTTTTTAGGAAAAAAATTGGATAAAAAATGTTGAAAGAGAAGAAATAAGATAAAAAGAAAATGCTAGAATTAAACTAATAAATTTAACAATATGTGATATGTGTAAAATTAAAAAATATACTTATGAATTTAGAAATTATTATTATGTTCAATTTTATAATAATGAGAACTAAGAAGTATATCAAGATATGTATTATAATAAATTAGGGTAATTGGCGCAAAACGTCCCTACCTTTCAGCTTTATTGTGGAAAACGTCTCCATCTTTCATTTTTTGGCATTTTTGCCCTCAAATCAAGCTTTCGTTGCGATGAAGGTCCTTTCGTCCAAGTTCCATCCATTTTTCCGTTAATTAAAAAGAGAAAACCAATTTTTGTCCACTCAGCGGGGGTAAAACTGTCTCACCCATTGAACTCCTTATTCCTGCCTTCTATATAGTCCATATATATAATAGTAGCTGAAAAATGGGTGTGAAAATACTTTAAATTATTACATTAAATAAGGGGAAAAAATGTCATTAATTAAAGAGCATATATAATAGTGAAATCCAACCATCACTGCTGCTTTTATGTTTGGTTTTAAGAAAAATGTAGTAAGATATATATTGAATGAGTGGTCAATTTGTAGAGATGACTGCTAGATATTTATTTCTAATTTATTATTATTGTGACCAGGGGTAAATTGAGGAGATCGAGTGAAAATGGGTGCTGTGAAGTATCGGTTCTATGTATCAGTTCAATGGTGAATGACCCATTTTGGCTTGTTGGTGAAGATGAACGGGTCATGTTCACTTCTTCTGGAAGTCGAATGAACCTTGCGCTAATAATCCCTACGTAGTTATAATTTTGGCTTAAAACATCCCTACCTATAAAAAGTTTGGCGAGTAAAGTCCTTACCTTTTAGAAATATTTGCTAATAATGTCCCTACCTATTATAAATATTTGCAAATAAAGTCCCTAACTTTTAGAAAAAAATTCAGCGAGAGAATTCCCTGTTTTCTTCTATATACCACCTGTTGATACACACCAACTCAAAAGTCCCTAAATAGACAATTCTATCACAGAATTTGAGACACAATTCATCCACCAATCAATCAAAAACTGAAACAAAAATATCCACTACCTGTTGAAGCAAAAATAATTAAAAACCGAAGCAAAATAGATGCAATTCATTTCAAATGTATTCCCAATTTTATTTTTCTTTGTCTACTCACTTATTTCTTGAAATATGCGACTACTTATCACTCTACAAGGCAGCTTTCACCAAGAAACCTTCCATTCTCACTCTCTTATCTCTAAAATTCAGTCATTTTTCTATATGTACCTTGAATATAATAGCTTTCGTTATAGAGTTTTGAAGATTATGTTTTGAAGAGGTTCGTGTAAGTTCTTTTGAAATTAAAAGTGATTTTATTTGGTTCTCGGAATAATTTAGAGTGTGGATTAGCTTGATTGTAATATTTAGTGTATTTTTGGTTGTTGATAAAGAACTGAAACAACAGAGAGATTTGAGGTGAGAATGGAACAATAATTGTTGAAATGGAAGATAAATGAGAATTTTTGAAGAACTGAGAGAGAGTGGAATGAGAACCATTTGGGCTGTGAAGTGTGAAGAAGGAAATTAAGAAAATGAGGGTTTTCAATTGGTGAAACAATTTTACCCCTGTTGAGTGGAAAAAAATTCGTTCTCTCTCTCTAATTAATGGCAAAATGGATGGAATTTGAACGGAAGGATGTTCATCGCAACGAAAGGTTGATTTGAGGGCAAAAATGTCAAAAAATGAAAGATGGGGACGTTTTCCACAATTAAGTTGAAAGGTAGGAACGTTTTGCGCCAATTACCCTAATAAATTACCACGCTCATGGGAAATATATTTTAAAATAGAATTTGAAAAATATATTAGAGATAATGTTGGAATACCTAGGACTTTAGGATCAATAATAAAAATTTTATTTGAAAGACTTGCATATATATGTCAACAAAGACAATTAATGGAAAAAAAACTAACTAGAATATGTTGTGAAAATATGGAAAATCCTATACAGTGTGGATGTAATTCTGAAAGAATGGTTAATAAAAGAAAATATAAAAATAAAACATTTTAGAAATTTTAATAAAAAATATATAAAATCTAGAAGAAGATATTATAAGAGAAAAAATATCCCATATGGTCAACAGAAAAATAAAAGCTATAAGAAAAATAAAAGTTAATGTAAATGTTGAAATTGTGGAGAAATATGTCATATAAGCCCTGATTGTGATAAAAATAAAGTTAAAATATTACAAAAAGAATATTTGAAAATAAAAGATGAATTGAGTGAAATATCAGACATTGAAGAATATTATAATCAAGAAATTTATATAAGTGAAATGGAGGATGATAAATCAGAGTCTGAATAAGGAAATAGAAAATAATAATATAAATATATAAGAATATGAAGGAATAGAAGGATATGGATAAAAAATTACATTTGATAACAACAAATTTCGAAAATTACAAAAATTATCTTTATATTTAAAATAGGGAAGT